CCAGCTCGTTATATATAAACAATAAAAAAGACAGGACAATAGGCCAAAGACGAGCATAAAATAAAGGATGTCAATTAATAAAATTCTTTAATAAGTCATTTAAACAAAATTAAAATTAAAAAACGCGAGACTAGTTTCGGATTACTTAGTCTTTCTCAATCGCTATTATATGATATTACAAATTAAAACGAATCCACGCATACGGAAATTTAGATAAATGTCGAATAGATTTTATTGTCCTCTTCTTCCAGCCAAATGTAATTCCGTATAAGATATTTAACTAAAAAAAAACTAGTCTCGCGTTTTTTAATTTTAATTTTGTTTAAATGACTTATTAAAGAATTTTATTAATTGACACCCTTTGTTTTATGCTCGTCTTTGGCCTATCGTCCTGTCTTTTTTAGTATTTATTTAAATTTATCTAAAAGTCAAAAGGCAGGAATATTATGAATAAACTAATAATTTAGATAATACGATGTTATAGAAATTAAAATTCATCTTATATATATTACAAATAAAATTAAAAATTATGCTTATTACATACCTGTAATAGTTCCAGGCTTCTGAATAAGAAGTATAGGTATTTTTGCCATAATGTTTTCATTATAATATTGATCATTTGATACACCAGGTACAAGACTTTCACTTCTCAGTTTATTAATAATGCCTGTGGGTATGCAAGTACTACTTACAATACAGCGTATTTCTGTATCCCAAATAGGAGAACAGTTGGAATTAATTACTGGCTGATCAATCGAAATTAATCGAGAAAAAGCTTCTGTTATTTCAGTATTACATTTTGTTTTCTTCTTAGGCAAGTAGAAGCGTGGATCTAAAACAGTTACTCCAATAATCATATTTGTTGGTAAGTGATTTGGAGATCCCAAAGACTTCAGTATTTGCCATAATTGTTCTTGTGTCTCGAAAGCTTTCATATTTTCTTGTTTTTTGTAGTAATTAATATACCATGGTTTTTTACTAAGTTCTATACTCAAATATTTGGAAGTTGTAGTATCTTCTTCACTTATTTGGTCAATCGCCATTTTCTCTATAGGTTGCACAACATTGTTATCTACTGATATTTTGTTCAACTCTATCATTTTACTACTTAGACCATCGTTATCTTTTAGAATTGTATAATTCGAACAAAAGTCCGTATATATTTTATTTAAGGATGGCAATTGTAATGCTTTCGTTAGTACATTTAAAGTCGATGTTCCATGAAGCCGAAATCTATTTAATGCATTTCTTAATATGATCATTTTACAACCTACATCATTCGTGTATAAACAGTTTAAGTTATGGATAATATCAGATATATTTTGTTCAGCATTATTTTGCTTAAATTCAAAACTTGATATAATTTCACTAAGAAAATCGTCATAAAAAGCAGGATGTACCCAGATCCAAATAGTCTTAATATTTGTTTGGATGTCCAATTTATTTGGTTGCCAGAAAAAGTCCACATTACCAATAGGAAAATGCGGATAACCGTTTTTTTTAAAAAACATCAAAGTACCTTCTCTCTGACCATTAATATATTTTTTTGCTGAAAAAGTTAACATCGATGGATTACAATGCATTCCCAAAGTTGTCTTCAGTATATTTTCCTCTCCTTTTATTTCAATACAAGTATAATAAGAAATATCTTGCAGAAGGCAATATTTTGCAGCAGCTCGATAATTAGCTCTAAAACACTTATCATTTGAGTGACTCGCAATTCGATATCCCCATTTGTCAACCATGTGAAAACGTTTTGCGTGCCAAATATGTGTTTCTAACCAAATTTTATCATGTTGTCTGCGACTATATTCAGAAAGTAAATTGCGCGGTCTTCTACGATACTTTCGAGATAGTCGCTTGTTGGTTGATGGTAAATCTTTGCCATTCCCTGATTTTGCCATTTGTGCCAAATGTGCTTCTCGCAATCTACGTGGCAATCGTTTGACATTATGAGACATAACACGTCTACGCATATATACAGGAAGCTTTTGAAATATTAACTTGGTTTGTTTAGGATTTTCTATAACAAGCAGAATAATTCAATCAACACTTAACATAACAATAATGACAGAGTTTAAAATAGAATAAAGTCACTGATTATGACATTATTATAAATAATGTGCATATTACTGCATATTACTCATCACAATATTATTATAAGTATGCATATTACTCATCACAATATTATTATAAGTATGCATATTACTCATTGTAATATTCATGAAAAAATATTTCATTATAAAATAGAAAAACTATTTATGTAATTATATAATTATTTTGATTGTGTAAAACAGAATTTGTTTCAATTCTTATCAATATTTCTTAAACATCTGATAAAATGTTACAAAATTTTTGAAGCTCCCTTTAAAGCACAAAATTTTTTTTCATTTTAAAATAATTTTCATAGAAATTTGAAGGGTTTTTTTATTTTTAATTTTATTAAATATTCAAGCAATTACATTAGCAAGATTCCATTAAAGAGTGAATTATACTTAAGAAATTGTCTGAAAAAATAAAATTTTATTTTTGTTTATAAACACCTGCAAAATTGTTTATAAAAAGTATTTTATTTTCATAATTTGGTATCATTAATGTTTTAATTTTGTTCAGAGAAAAAGCTTTTTTAAAAAATAATTTATCTGTAACATTTTATTAAGATGTTAATGGAAATCAAACAAGTATCTTAGCATAGATACCTATTGAAGATGTCATCGCAGAAATTTCATGAGCTCGTGAAGAGATAAAGTTCATGATAGACACCTCATGTGGAAGTGACTGAGCTCCTCCTAAGAACTCGTCAAATTGCTTCTTCATGGTATTTTCCGATTTTTGTAAAATTACTCTTGTATTCAATATAATCTCTTTTGTAACTTATCAAAAGCAGATGAATCACGAGTAAAAACAGAGATAAGTCTGATAGCGTTTTCGATTTGTTGACTCTTCTTTTTCTTTCTACCTCTCTGGAATCTGGATTTTGGATCCTTAGGATCCAAGTACCACGACAGAGAGAAGCGTGAGAGCGGCCACGCGGCACGCCGGCTTTTTAGGACCAGCTAGAGTCCTAGCATCAGAGAAGCGCGACCGGCTTATGGCAGTATCGCAAAAGTACTAGAAAATATTAAAAATGGCGTCGAATGGCCAATCATAAAATTGATTTATTCGGCAGCCATTTATAATAACGATAAATCAATCTTATGATTGGCCATTTGCGAGTCCAATCAGAACTCGTAA